ACTTTTTAAAAGATACTAGTACTTATTATTTATATACTAATTATTATTAGATACTGGTACTTATTTATTAGCTACTAGTACCGATTAAACAGATATTAGTTCTTATTTCAATTCTGTTGTAACTAGTAATACATTTCAAATTCTTACCATTGACTTCTATGGGGATCTGTCATTCAGGTATCAACGATTCAGTTCTGACTGGTATTTATTCTAATCATGACTAGTACATTAAAAAAAGTAGTTATTCATAAGGTACAATAAATTTTTTTTAGATACCAGTACTTAATTAGATACTAGTACTTATTCATTAGATACTCATTCCTATTTTAAAGATACTAATAGTTATTCATTAAACACTAGTACTTATTGATTATCTGCTAGTACTTATTCAATAGATACTACACATTTATTAGATACTATTACGTATTCCAAATGTTACTAGTAAGATTTTTTTAACTAGTAAGATTTTTTAATTGAACTCTACAGTGAACATTCTGACCAGTCATAACATAAGACAAGTAAAAAATGAGTTGTGACTTTTAAGATAAGAATTGTTACTAGTAACAATTACAAAAGATACTAGTGTCTAACAACAAAGTACTAGATGAAAGTAATCTAATGAATAACTAGTATTAAATAGGTACTAGTTGTAACCCTTTTAGTTGTTATGGACACCTTTGTTTCTGTGTTTTCCTGTGTTCTGTTTTGTTTTAGTTCCTGTGTGCCCTTATTTGGTTATCTTCCTGGTCTCGTTTAGCCTGATTAGTTTACCTCCATCACCTGTGTTTAGTTTATGATCTTCATCTGTCTTTGTATTTAAGTTGTTCCCTTTCTGTCACTCGTTGTTCGGTCACCGTTATACTAAGTTGTGTTTTCCCTTGTTTATCTGCCTGAGTTTAATTAAACAGAGTTTTGGGCTTTACCTGCTGTCTCCTTCGCCTTGCTTCGCAACACAACCTGTGACAGATGACCGAACCACGCAAAATGAACTGGGCTGAGGACAAGCTATTTAACGTCCAGCAGGATGGACAGCCTTTGGAGTGATATGTGGAGGAGTTCCTGAGTGTTTTCCATCTGGTGAGCTGGAGCAATCATACGGTTAACGCTTGCATCCGGATGGGACTCGACGATGATAATTTGTTTCGATTCCTTTCTCCTGACGATTGTTATAGACTCGTAGCAGACATTATTAATTACGTCCTCGATTTAAACGATTCGGATTTCTTTGTAGATGTAGCTAAATGAAGATTGTCGTTCGATTCCTATCTGGAAGCATGTGAGTGCTCCGGCTCACCACAAACCAGCACCCTCCACATACCAGTCCAATGGATCCATCCACTCCTACCCACCTGTGTTTCCCCGATCCAGAAAGGAGGTTTTGAACAGCGCTGACCTGGGAGCTGAAGTGGTGGAGTCCGCTCCAGAATGCTTTCCAGAGTCTGCTCCAGAATGCTCTCCAGAGTTCAACCGGGAGCCCACTCACGCCACAGAGCTCAACCGTGAGCCCAGCTCTCCTGAATCTCAGCTGGTTCCGTCCAGCTCTCCTGGGTCTCCCAAGTCTCCGCTTGTCCCAGCTAGCTCGCCGGCATATCCAGAGTCCTGGAAAGGTGTACCCATACCTTCGTCAGCCAGAAACCATCTGAGCCTGAAGGCGCCTAGTTTCCCCCAATAAAAATTTTTTTTGGGGGGGGGGGGGCATATGCCTGTGGCCATAGTGGCCAAGTCGGGGAACCTGGACAAGGCCAAGAAGGCCCATCCTCCATGGCCTCCGGAATTGGGCAGCACATCCATGGCCTCTTGAAAGGCTGGCACCACCATGGCCCCCTGAACTGCCGGCACCGCCCTGGAGGCTGCCCATCCTGTGTAGCTGCGCCTAACCAGCCTCCACCCTCCCTCCCCTCTGGATGGTGCTTAGCACGAGGGCGTGCTTTCCGGGAGGAGGGGGTTATGTCATCCTTTCAGTTGTTATGGACACCTTTGTTTCTGTGTTTTCCTGTGTTCTGTTTTGTTTTAGTTCCTGTGTGCCCTTATTTGGTTATCTTCCTGGTCTCATTTAGCCTGATTAGTTTACCTCCATCACCTGTGTTTAGTTTATGATCCTCATCTGTCTTTGTATTTAAGTTGCTCCCTTTCTGTCACTTGTTGTTTGGCCACCGTTATACTAAGTTGTGTTTTCCCTTGTTTATCTGCCTGGACTCGTGCGCTCTGGGTAAAGGAAGCACATCTTATGAGAAAGGATATTTGTCAATGAGCTCAGGATCTGTTGAGCAGCAAATCCTCCAGTATGATCTTGTCAGTCATCTCTCCTCTCAACCTGTCTGAACCCCCCACTGTCTTCTTTTTGGAAAACTAAAATATGGTCACCCTAATAAAATAGCATTAGACACTAGTATGTTTTAAAGGGGTGGTACAATGCTGTTTCATGCATTCAGAGTTGTTTACACTGTTAAAGGTGTCATATGATGCGATTTCAATTTTTCCTTTCTCTTTGGAGTGTTACAAGCTCTTGGTGCATAAAGAAGATCTGTAAAGTTGCAAAGACTAAAGTCTCAAATCCAAAGAGATATTCTTTATAAAAGTTCAGAGTCAGTCACACCTACCTAAAACGGCTCATTCTAACACGCCCCCACATGTCTACGTCACTATCTGGGAAGATTTGCATAACGCCGCCCAAAAGAAAGAAGGCGTAACTTTTATTCTCGCTGTAGTATTGTTGCCGCCGCCCAAAACTACTTTGTTTGGCTTTCCAAAAGAGGACGATATCGCTTCGTCATGCCTAGAGTTGATCCGTGCTGGTCGCTGAGGAAATACTACCGGATCGGCTTTCACCATGGACGAAGCGGAGTCCAGCCCGGGGTCGTCACATGTGGTTGCCGCAGGCATCACAATATGGTAAGGGCGTAACATTTCCGTCACACGCTTGAGGAATTCGGCCAGTCACAACGCACTGGATAGCTCGCCAATCAGAGCACATCTCGCTTTTTCAGACCGAAGAGCTTTGTAAAAATCGATGCGTTTCAGAAAGGCGGGGCATAGAGGAGAAACAATAATGTACAGAATGTGGAAAATAATGTGGTTTTTTTACCTTAAACCGCATAAACACATTTTAGTACACCAAATACACAAAATTATGTTATTTTTAGCAGCATCATATGACCCCTTTAAAGAGTTGGATTCTCATGCTAAACATGGCCAAAGTTCAAAAAAACGATTTGGATGTATAACAGAGTATTTCTATGCCAAATACACACTTCCAGGTTTCTTAAAAGTTTGGGAAAGTTTTTTTTCGATCATGGGTCTTCATGACATAATGAAGGGCGGAACTCCTTATATGGGCATTTCTCCTGGAAGCGCACGCCCGCGCACACATCGACCAGAGCGAGAGCAAGAGCGCGCCCATCAACGCGCTTCATTCAGCAGCGCTGCATGGGACTCGCTCGGGAATAATGTCTCTAAAGAAGTGTGTTTTTGGTTGTAAGGGAAAGATAACCTTGTTCAGCTTCCCGAAGAATCCAGCAAACAGCGGATGCACTTTGTTTTCCGGGGCAGCAACGGAGTTTTGCAAGTGTGTTTGTTGACGAACGTTTTATAAACAAGGCCCAGTTCAACGCTGGATTTACACATCGTTTGATACTGAAAGATGGAGCGGTCCCAGCTATAAAAGATCCTGGTCATGATTCAGAAATGCAGATGGTAAGTGAAACTACCTCAAATGTCTGTTTTGTTGGCAATCGGCGCTCAAGTGCTAGTCACTCTTTAGCTCCGCCCATGGCGCTCCTCCAGGAGCTCGGCTGTTTTCGGAGAGAATCATAAAGCTGTATCTTTCTTTTATAAATATGATAAAACGAAAGACTTTTTGGAGATATGAAGGATGCAGTACTATTCTGTACTCAAGATTAATATGAGTTTGGGTGAAATTGTGTGTGTTAGGTCCCATTTAAGATGAAATGTTAAAACGGCTTGCCATACTCTGAGGCCCTGTCCACACCAACGCGGTTATTTTTAAAACCGCAGCTTTTTCTACGTGGTTAGGCCATTTGTCCACATACAAACGCAGCACCAGTTCACTGAAACCGAAAATTTTTGAAAACGCCTGCCAAGGTGAAGATTTTCAAAAACTCCGGTTGCAGTGTTATCGTGTAGACAGTGAAACCGTAGTTTTTGGCTTGTGACGTCGGCGCCTACGCTGTTATCTCCGCCTACTGGAGACTTTTTCAGGCTTCTGATTGGCCAACATGGCTTTACGGTTGAGATTATATCACCAGCTGTTGGTTAGGCATGCTCTTGACAGCGCTTCATAGCTTGCGTTTTCATGTGGACGTGAATGTGTTTTTTTTTAACGGAAGAAGGAAAAACTTTTATAAAACGTTTATAAAAATACCCGTGTATGTGTGGACATGGCCTGACTGTACACATACCGTTACCGATTCCGCTTTATTCGCGGTTAAAGGGATAGTTCACCCAAAAATGAAAATGTGATGTTTATCTGCTTACCTCAGGGCATCCAAGATGTAGGTGACTTTGTTTCTTCAGTAGAACACAAATGATGATTTTTTTACTCCAACTGTTGCAGTCTATCAGTCGTATAATGCATGGCAATGGTAACAAAATCTATGAGAGTAAAAAAAACATGCACAGACAAATTCAAATGAAACCCTGCGGCTCGTGACGACACATTGATGTCCTAAGACACGAAACGAAGCGCGTACACACCTCACGCACTGGATGCCGTGCGCGCTCAAATTAGAGGTAAAAAATTATATAAATACTGTTCTGTTTCTGGCACAAACCGATCGTTTCATGTCTTAGGACATCAATGTGTGGTCAGGAGCCGCAGGGTTTAATTTGGATTTGTCTAAACAAAGTCACCTACATCTTGGATGCCCTCGGGGTAAGCAGATAAACATCAAATTTTCATTTTTGGGTGAACTATCCCTTTAAGTGTAACGACAAGAACTCTCCAGCGTGACGTTGGCGCTAGAGATCACATCTTTCAGTCTGCAGTGCATTATGTCAGAGGAAAACTAATCGGATATAACGCCGCTGATGGACGGAAGTTTGCATGTTCAAGATGGCGCTGGACGGGATCGAGCAAGTAAGTGATATTTTTGTGTTAAATCTTGAAATATGAACAGCACAGTTAGCTGTGTTTTATAATTCAGCAACACATATTGCATATGAGGAGTGTGCTGTAACTGTAGTGTTAGGAAATATTAGATAGAATGGCTGACTTTAAGACGCGTTTGCTCCGAGTGAAGCAGAGTTTGCTGTCTCATTGTGTCACACTGACTAGGACTGATCATAACATGGGATAAGTAGTTACAACATGACAAATAATTAATGTTTAGCTATAACATGCAGTATCACTGATAATAACAACATACATTTCTCTTGTCTAATAATAAGAGAAGTCTCCGATAATCAAAACTCTGATTGTAACACAGAGAATCAAAATCGCTCGTGTCTGATCATAACATCATAACAGAAATCTCAACTCTCTAACATGAGGAATCTCTCATTACTGATCATAACATGCTAAATGGTTCGTTTCTAAGAAAGCATCGTGAATCATCACTTTACTTCAGCCGGCACTGTTACACTACCTGACTATTAATAAACCGACATTTTATGATATTAATAATATTGTTGTTAATATTTTTTCCCAGATGGATATTGAGGAGAGTAAAGGAGGCACTGGTCTCCGACAGTATTACCTGTCTAAAATTGAGGAGCTTCAGGTAAGAATAGCCATGAAATAGTTTGACAGCATTAACGATGTTAAAGGGATAGTTCACCCAAAAATGAAAATTCTGTCATCGTTTACTCACCCTCATGTCGTTCCAAACCTGTATGAGTTGCTTTCTTATGTTGAACATAAAAGAAGATATTTTGAAGATTGCTGGTGATCAAACAGTTGGTGGTTACCATTGACGTCCATAGTATTTTTTTTTTCCTAATATGGAAGTCAATGGCAACCACCAACTGTTTGATCACCAGCAATCTTCAAAATATCTTCTTTTATGTTCAACATAAGAAAGCAACTCATACAGGTTTGGAACGACATGAGGGTGAGTAAACGATGACAGAATTTTCATTTTTGGGTGAACTATCCCTTTAAGGACCCTTGTAAAAAAAAAAAAGAAGTAGCCTACACATTAGTATGCTTGTAAAAAGAGTGTTTATTACGGAAATAATATCATTTAAAAGAATATGTTGACAAATTAATGTAATGTTATTGGATACTTCATTGCATGTTATTTACAATTAAAAAAAAGTTTTATATTTTAAATTTCTATTAAATTCAGGTCGTTGAACTTAATAGAGTTTTGACCCACTTAAGTACATCTTTATAATATGTAATTTCATAATTTTATTGTTTTAGAAATATGATTAAAGTGTACTGCTGAATGTACTGACAAGCATTTATGATCAACTAAAATATACTTCCATGCCATTTCTATTAAAACGTGTATGTCATGTATTAAAATATTGTTGTAATAGCATATTTGTAATGATAAAGAAGCAATTTGGAAAATTTAAAATATATTACCTTTCAGTGATATATCAACTAAAATTATAATAATGTTAGTCAACACATCAAAAAAATGTAGTTCATTAAAACACAACCATCAATTTAAACATAATGATTTATGGGGGAAGTCGTGGCGTAATGGTTAGAGAGTCAGACTCGTAATCCAAAGGTTCAAGTCTCGTACCGGCAGGGATTGTAGGTGGGGGGAGTGAATGTACAGTGCTCTCTCCCACCTTCAATACCACGACTGAGGTGCCCTTGAGCAAGGCACCGGACCCCCAACTGCTCCCCGGGCGCCGCAGCATAAATGGCTGCCCACTGCTCCGGGTGTGTGTTCACGGTGTGTGTGTGTGCACTGCTGTGTGTGTGCACTTTGGATGGGTTAAATGCAGAGCACTAATTCCTAGTATGGGTAACCATACTTGGCAACATGTCACGTCACTGTCACTTAAAATGTACTTTAATTACACTTAATTGACTTTTTCTCATTCATATTATCTGCAACTACATTTTATTTAAAAAAATATACTTTTAAGATTTGAAGTACACTACAAATGCAGATTCAGAACAATTAAGCACACTTCTTTTTCACAAGGGTATGTCTAAATGTGCTTGTCTCTTTACTCAGTTGACAGTGAATGATAAAAGCCAAAATCTCAGGCGTCTACAGGCTCAAAGGAACGAGCTAAATGCCAAGGGTAAAGCCATTTCAACCAGCTTTCTCATAAATGTCACTTTGTGATGTTCAAATGCATATGCCAAATAGAATATGCTAAATATGTCATCATATGTAATTTGTGCTGTTTCTTTTAGTGCGCCTCCTGCGTGAAGAGCTTCAGTTGCTGCAGGAGCAGGGGTCTTATGTAGGAGAGGTGGTGAGAGCCATGGACAAGAAGAAAGTGCTGGTCAAGGTTTGAGAGCCATGATTTCCTGTTTAATTTCATGAGCATAGTTTGTGCTGAGATGTAACAATGCAGTTTTGTTAATCATTTGTATTTATGCTTTGTTTTTAGGTGCATCCTGAAGGAAAGTTTGTAGTGGATGTGGATAAGAACATTGATATAAATGATGTAAGTGTTTTGTTTAGGGTTTTTACTAAGGCTGGTTAAACTGATAATCATGATTATTTTGCTCAAATTATAATCACAATTATTAAGAGAACATCAACTCATACGCAGGGTGTATTTTTCATAATCTAGTTTCCGGTTATGTCCTATTTATATTATATACATTAACACACTCTTTACATTATAAAAACTGGTAAAACTCTTTAAGAAGTTTCTCTCAAAAGCTAAAACAGTAAAATTCCTAATAATAACAAATTATGGAACCGTATATCTATTAAAACACGCAAAAAAGATTCATGACGCATTGAGGTTGCATAAGTGCATGTATTCAGCAACCACAATCGCAAACAATATAGTTGAGATTCATGAAAAACAATATAGTCGGGATTCATGTTTGGATTTATTACAGTTCATCACTCCGAAGGTTTGCTCGCAGATTTAGTCGCTGCAAATAGCACAAACGGCTGCGCATGGTTGTCAGGTTGAGAAGATTAAATAAAAGACAAAATTTATCATTTTAAATGAAAAGCTCCAATTGGGGGATTTAAACTCTTGACATCTGGCAACGCCACAGATAATATTTATACAAGGTATTGGTAGTGTCAAAAAAATTTTTTTAATAATTTTTCATTAAAGAACACAAAATATTGGTCACAAATTACTATTAAATGCGCATCCCTAGTTTTTACAGTCACAAATGCTACCTCAGAATTCCAGGAGAGGATACAGTTTTTGTCTGGTGGCTCATAAAATAGAAAGGTTTTTAAAAAATGTACTTGTAGATTTTTTTGCATTAATGTTGATAGTAAACTATATCCTCATTTCCAACAGGTAACTCCCAATTGCCGTGTAGCACTTCGAAATGACAGTTACACACTTCACAAAATCCTGCCAAACAAAGTTGACCCACTCGTCTCACTGATGATGGTGGAAAAAGTGCCAGATTCAACGTACGAGATGATTGGAGGGCTGGACAAACAGATCAAAGAGATCAAGGAAGTGATTGAGCTTCCAGTCAAGCACCCAGAATTGTTTGAGGCTCTAGGAATTGCGCAGCCTAAGGCAAGTGATGACATAGCTTATTCATGTCAGGTTAATAATGTCATGTAAAAGAGTGCTACCTTCTCAATAGTAGGTCTGTTGGCCTGCCAGATCTACGTCATCTTCTGTAATGTTTTTGTTGGTCTGCAGGGTGTGCTGCTGTATGGACCTCCTGGAACTGGAAAGACCCTGTTAGCCAGAGCTGTGGCCCATCACACTGACTGCACCTTCATCAGGGTGTCTGGATCAGAGCTGGTGCAGAAATTCATAGGAGAAGGTTGGTTGTGCTTCCAGACAAATCACTTTTTTTTTTTTTTTACCTGTACTTTTTTTCTGGAGATGTTTAGCAGAATGTTCTTGCTGCTCTTTTCCTTATTATAAAATCATATATTGCTCTGAAAGATGTTCTTTTTTTTTTTAATTATAATTTTATCCTTTTTTGACTCTGTGTGTACATTCCAGGAGCTCGTATGGTGCGTGAGCTGTTCGTCATGGCCAGGGAACATGCGCCCTCTATCATCTTCATGGATGAGATCGACTCCATCGGCTCGTCTCGGCTGGAGGGTGGATCAGGAGGAGACAGTGAGGTGCAGAGAACTATGCTGGAGCTCCTCAACCAGCTGGATGGGTTTGAGGCCACCAAGAACATCAAGGTGAGAAGCAAACACCTGTAGCCTATGTGCTGATCCTAACATGAAAAGGGGTCTCATCTCTGGTTTTAGAACTTGGTAGCTTTTTATTGAATTTGTAAAACGCATAGTTGTGAAAACACAGCATGACTTGGTGTGATTGTAAAATACTGAGATTTAATTATAGAAAAATCTGGTACACTGCATTTTAAGTGTGGCACTGTGGTCTTTTAACTCATGATCTAGAGTTTTCAGTGTCTCAGAGCAGCTCAGTTCACAATAAAACTGCTCCACATGGACTCCATCTCTGCAAGCGTTGTGAGTTGCGGTCACTTGTAATGTGCATTTGAAAATGTGACGCACGTCAACTAGGGATGCACCGATATGAACGTAAAACGCATAGTTGTGAAAACGCAGCATGACTTGGTGTTATTGTAAAATACTGAGATTTAATTATAGAAAAATCTGGTACACTGCATTTTAAGTGTGGCACTGTGGTCTTTTACACATGAGCAACTCATGATCTAGAGTTTTCAGTGTCTCAGAGCAGCTCAGTTCACAATAAAACTGCTCCACATGGACTCCATCTCTGCAAGCGTTGTGAGTTGCGGTCACTTGTAATGTGCATTTGAAAATGTGACGCACGTCAACTAGGGATGCACCGATATGAAAATTTTGGCCGATACCGATAACCGATTATTCTTTATTTTTGAAAGCCGATAACCGATATGTTGGCCGATAAATCTATATCCAAATTGTTATATACTATCTGGTGCTGAGGTCAAGGTGAGTAGAGCCTTGCACGGGCATCAAATTTAGTCCCTAGCCCGGCCCGTGTCCGACAGCTCATCGGAATTCTTGGCCCGATTCTGACCCGAGCCCATCTTTTTTTTTTCTCTCTCCTTTTCCCAAAACAGCTTATACTACTGTTTCAGCTATTAAAATGGTTCAGTTTTGTATGTAATGTCAAAGTGATTATATTTCTTTCATGTATTTTTTAAGTTAATTTAGAAAAACGTTTGGAGCATTTTTTTGTTCGTTAAATGTACGTTTTTTTTGTTTTTTAAAGTAACGACCAATCGGCCAGCGGCAGAGAGTGAGCTGATAGCCTATGTTTGATCAATTTAGCCTTCTCAAATCATCACGACTTGCCTAAAATAAAATCTATAGATATAAAACCGTTCAAGCATATCACAATGTTAATTTACATTTACACACAGCAAAATCCCCAGAGTTAAATCAACTATGCTCGGAGTACATATTGTGCCAATCTACAGAGTGTTAAAGTAACACTGAAGCAGAGTTACCACTGTTGAGGATTATGTGATACGTTTTCATGTCTAAAAGCCTTAGCAGTAGTTGTTCATCTTCAACATTGTTAACAGCGGGTTTTCTTTAATAATGCTCACTCATCAATTAATTCATTGCTTAATTATCCCATTAACTTTAACTCGGCTTCAGTGTTACTTTAACACTCTGTAGATTGGGACAATATGTACTCTGAACATAGTTGATTTAACTCTGGGGATTTTGCTGTGCATTTAGTCATTTTGCAGACGCTTTTATCCAAAGCGACTTACAATTGGGGGATACATAAAGAGATTCTTCTTAAAGAGGCAAACAGACACAGGAAGTGCTTGTAATACCAAGTTTCTAGACATTGTTCAAATAAGTACAAGCTAGAAAGAGAAGGAATAAGTAAAGAGATATATATATATATAATTTTTTTATTTATTTTTTTATGATGAAGTCAAGTAGCTTCGAAAGAGATGAGTTTTCAGCTGTCGCTTGAAAATTGTCAGGGATTCAGCATTCCGGATAGGGGTGGGAAGATCGTTCCACCAGCCAGGAGTGGTGAACGAGAATGTTCTGGAAAGTGATTTTGAGCCTCTCTTTTTAGTTTAAATGTTTAACCTATAAATGTGTGCTATTAGATGCATATCTAATCGTTTGTGCGGAGAGCTAAACCACGCTTTACAGGCGTCGACGCGATCACTTGCATTGGAAACAACTTAAAATATGCCGTAATTTTTGCTCATAAAGGTAAGAGCAATACATCACTCGGAACTGTAAAGGGTCGACTTTTATTTGTGTGCACTCACAATATCATCAAAATGTTGTGCTTTTATAAAATAAAGGATACATGCATGGAAAGCTTTAAATTACTACTTTAAAACTAAATAAAACAAAAACTCTTTCATTATAAAATCCGTAAAGATGCACTTCTCTCTAAAGGCGTGTCTAATGAGGAGATAGCGAGTCAGGATCTTCATCTTTGTGACACGGACTCAGAAAACACTAATTTATTAATAAATAACTCAAATATCTCCTTACTATTTCCCCCTGACACATTCATGGTAATTACTTTTGCTGGGGCTTTGCGGCACGCTTTAGCCTGTTGCGTGCGTTTTTTGCTGTTATGTGCAAGGATATGTTTGCAGATTCTGCACTGCACATGACCAGTTGGCTCACTGTTTGCCGTGGTAATCAAATCAAAACTCTTCCAAAATGCAGCTTTTCCCGAAGCATTGGGAACTTTTAGTAACTCCCCACGCTCCAACTTCTCCCTGATGCTCTGCATGGTCAACTGTCACCTGTATGCTAATGCGTGCGTATATGCGTTGCGTATTGCGTAGGCGATATATAATATTTATTAATATAATCAATATAACAATATTTCATACAGTAGCCTGTGTGTGCTCTGCGCGTATATGGGCACAATAAAAGGAGAGAAGCTGAATGAGCCCGAGCCCGATCTGTAAAAAAAAAAAAAAAAGATAATAAAAATGGCCCGACTCAGCGTGACGGACTTGCAGACCTCTAAAGGTGAGGTCTCAGTCTCCACCATGCATGACGCAGAGCTGCGCTCATTTCCAGTCATTTATAGACGTCTGTACGCCACATTTTCAACAAGCTGTTTTTATTTGTCCTTGTCTGGCAGGGTGTCTGCACAGAGGCAGGGATGTATGCTCTGAGAGAGAGGCGAGTCCACGTTACCCAAGAAGATTTTGAAATGGCAGTAGCAAAGGTACTGAAATCATTTTCTTTTTCGATCGTGCTCTTGGTACAAATAATATTTAAACCTACCAATTCTTTTTATGATTCGTTTTCAGTGAATAGCTCTCATTTATAATATACTGTATGTTTACAGGTGATGCAGAAAGACAGTGAGAAAAACATGTCCATAAAGAAGCTCTGGAAGTAAACATTAGACTATGTAATGTGCAGTTTTTTTCTTCAAGTTGCTTCATCACCCAAATGTATTCAAAATAAATTGTTTCTCACTTAGCATGATCTGTTTTTCTTTCCATTTGTTAAAAAACTGCACTTAGAAATGCACTTACATTGACAAAAGTTGATTATCTCATAGACATTCACTGTAACGGCTTAAATGATTTTTTTGAAGACAAAGGCCAAAGAAGAAAAAAAAAAGCACAGAATCCCCAAACTAAAATTAACGACCTAAATTAGAACTTCATTCGCACACAGAAGCTTTTGTAACTACATTTCATGATTATGAATCTTTAATGCGGAGTATGCATTGTTTCAGTTTTTTTTTGTCCAGGACATTTGAATTGGAATGATGCATTTGCTGAGTTTCAAATAAAAGCATATGCATTTATCAGAGAAGAGGAGACTTTACATTTAAAAGAGCTCTTTTGCTTAATGAGTCTGAATTCTTTCATTAGTCCAATGCTGGTTTTGTGAGTTATTTGTTCCTAATTCCTAATTTTCCCATGACCAGAAAAGTCCACCACTTTGTTTTCAGATTTAAATTTTATTTTTTTATTAAAAAAGAGGGGGAATTGATTGCATAATAACTAGAGCATTGTGGGAAATAAACCAAGATACTTTAACTGAAATAAATGTTAATAAAAGTTCACTAATGTATTCTAAGAGATGTATAAAGTAATTACAAATGTTCATGGATTGAAACTCTGATTGTTAATATAATAAAAAATTTAAAGCATTTAAAACCAGCTTGAAAAAAATCAGTTCATTTGATTCTAGTTCTGTTTTAAATTGAATGTATCAGAAATGAAATGGAATTGAAAGTCATTCTCAGTTCTGCATGGTGTAAACTGTGCTGTTTACAAACCCAACCCCGGATGACTGCTGCCAGTAAGCGTGCAGCTCAAAGTCCTCTACAGACGTTCCAGTCACTTTTGGAAAGCACGTACAGTCCTGACTTTGACTTCCACTTTCTTCTGCTTTGGGTCTGATGACATAACAACTGTGAGTATGGCATTTCAAAAAAATACTAGAATGTGAAAACATGGTACATGCTTTTTACAACGGTTTTAATTCAACTAATCGAAGTTCATGAAAGAAAAAAAATTGAATAAACAGTTTGGCGATAAGGAGCTCGCTTGAGGCTATGAAAAGCACATTATTATGTGACCCTGGACCACAAAACCAGTCTTGATTGTCAATTTTTCGAAACTGAGATTTATACGTCATCTGACAGCTTCAATCTTGAATAAATAAGCTTTCCATTGATGTATGGTTTGTTATGATAGGACAATATTTGGCCGAGATACAACTATTTGAAAATCTGGAATCTGAGGGTGCAAAAACATCAAAATATTGAGAAAATCATCTTTAAAGTTGTCCAAATTAAGTTCTTAGCAATGCATATTACTAATCAAAAATGAAGTTTTGATATGTTTACGATAGGAAATTTACAAAATATCTTCATGGAACATGATCTTTACATAATATCCTAATGATTTTTGGCATAAAAGAAAAATCTATAATTTTGACCCATACAATGTATTTTTGGCTATTACTACAAATATACCCCAGCGACTTAAGACTGCTTTTGTGCTCCAGGGGCACATTTTGATGTTCACATATATCCTAGACACTTTCTGACTGCTTTTCCTTCACTATCCACTCCAACTCATTAATTTAGTTTTAAACCGTGTTAGGTTTGAAAAACTTCTCGTGGCCACCATTTGCATTTGTCTACAAAAGTAATTTAAGATCGTTAGAGACAAATTCAGCCATGTAGTTTAAAACTACAAGTAGGTTTTTTTTAATACATATTTTGACATTTGACAACCTGAGCACAACAGGGGCCCGTTATGTGAAATATTTACTATTCTAAATAGTTATACCAGGTATAACTACACAATAACTATGTTAAAAATAAAGCAAAAATGTAAAAAGTATGTATATATATATATATAGCTGACTTTAAAATGTAAGTATCCCTCACACAAAGATGATTGATTTTGGGGGTCCATGCCATCTAAAAGACTGAAAATCACATTCATTTTTATTTAGGGGGAAAAAGCTTAAACCTCTATTTCTTAAATTTTTTTAAAATAATTTATGCATTTTAATACACAGTCTTTGCATTTTGACTTTAATCTCCACAAAAAATAAAAATACAATCTGAAATAAAAATCTTTCGGTAACACTTTAGTTTAGGGACCAATTGTCACTATTACTTAATTGCTTATTTGTATGTATATTACTAGCATATTGACTGTTTATTAGTACTTATAAAGCACATATTAATGTCTTATTCTGCATGACCATATTTTAGATCCACCCAATACCTAAACTTAACAACTACCTTATTATACCTAACAATTAATAAGCAGCCAATTGGGAGATTTTTGAGGCAAAAGTCTTAGTTAATAGAGAGAACTGGCCTCTAAAGTGTGACCAAACTTTCACTATAGAAGATGTATTCAAATCAGTGTCTGTACCAGCTGCATTTTTTAATACATTCATAGATCTGTACACGAGTAGTGAGCCCATTAAAGTCATTAAATCAATTGCATTTTACACAAAGCTATGGTAACTTTTCCTGATCACGTACATCATGTACATTGATATTTAATACTAATATTTAAAAACATTTCTCTGCAGACTTTCCTGCCCACTTTAATGGCTGATTATATACTCTACTATATCCAGTAAGTATGACGCTCATCAGATCTTCATAAGATCTTTCTGTATGTAAGCAATACGTTGTTTGTCTGATGATGCAGGACGTGGCTGACGCCGCTGCTGGTTTTGACTGTGAGTCTGTGCATACTGAGGTACTGCTGCAAACTCTGCAGCAAAGTCTCAGACACTGACTCAGATCTCGACCTGTCGAACAGCGACCATGTCTACGTGATTCCCAATCCCATTCATGTGAGAGAAGAGCGAGACGAACGAGACGAGACAAACTCTCATGATGATCTTGTGTTCACACCACCACCATATGAGCTAGTGTGTCCACCACCATCATATGCAGAGGTACAACTGTCTATCTATCTAAAAAGCTAAACTGGTCTTAGATTGTCAACCAGTCTACTTTTCAGATGGTCAGAGTTTGTCATTAGCTCAAACTAACTAATACTTACTAAGCTAGTTTTATCTACAGAATGCATTTCTATGCACAGTATGTTGCAATGCTGTTTCAAAAGACTTCTGATACTTGTAATTGTTTTTTTTTACAGTCCAGCTTTAAATTAAGAGGTACTCCAGATTCAGAGATGGACACTTCCAACATACCGCCTCCACCATACAGCCCACCTTTAAATATGATGTCACAATCATCCAGCCATCAACAATAGACACTGCTGAATATATATTTTTGTAGGTGTGATGATAGCTAGTAGAACTAATGCATCTTTTTATTCTCATAACTGGAATTGTGTATGTGAAAGTTCATACCAAATAGGCAGAGCAGTTGGCATTTTCCCTGGAACTTGGTACAGTTTTCCAGAACAATCATTCAGCACTAGATAAGTAGCCGTTTTAATGAGCAAATGAACCAAAGTCTGTCATACGGTTACTCAACAGTCCCACAGGAAGATCTTTACAGTTTTTACGTCAGAGATATTTCTTATCTTAAGAACAAGAAGTTTATTGCTTTTGCGAACCATGTCAAGGGGAGTGGCTGAAATGCTGACATATTTTTTGGCAACTATGTAAATCCTTAATTACTGGGATAAATTCAGTTAATGGGGTCATATGACGTTGCTAAAAAGAGCATTATGTTGTGTGTTTGGTGTGATGCAATGTGTTTATGCGGTTTAAGGTTAAAAAAAGCATTATTTTCCACATAATGTACATTATTGTTGCTCCTCTATGCCCCGCCTTTCTGGAACGTGTTGATTTTTACAAAGCTCATCGGTCTGAAAAGCGAGGTGTGCTCTGATTGGCCAGCTATCCAGTGCATTGTGATTGGCTGAATACCTCAAGCGTGTGATGGAAATGTTATACCCCTTACCATGCTGTGATGCTGTGTCCCAGCGCGATGAGGCAACACCAATAAAACCCATTACAAACGAGGCATTTGTTGCATCCAATGGGGACATAATTACTGATCATAATGACTTATACTGTCTTTTTACGCAACATAAACATAAAACCATGTTTGCATTTGTGATCGGAGAAACGACAAACAACAAGCGCTACTCTACACTGCTCAAAACTCACGTTTGAATAATCAGTGGCAAATCCTTTACATATGAAAACGTACTTCCTGGCTTTGAGTCAGAAGCGCCAGACTGTCCTTGCAAAGTTGGAACTGCCCCACTTTATAAAAAAACACCTTTGTGCACAGACGCATTGTAGTCTACTCTCCCAGGATCAGGAAACAGTCCTCCATAAAATGCACTGCACACATCTGAATATTTGGGTTGAACTGGTCTGGAACAGTGTTGTAAATACAACTTAACCACTGATTTCTAGTTGTGTCCTCTTTTGGAAGGCCAAACAAAGTAGTTTCGCTTTCACAACGAAACACACGGCGGGCTTGTGTGAGAAACGGCCGGTGGGCTTGCGGCAACCATATGTGATGACTCCGGGCTGGACTCCGCTTCGTCCACGGTGAAAGCCAATCCAGCGATCCACAGTGCGAAGTTGATGTATTTCCTCAGCGACCAGCACGGATCAGCTCTAGGCATGACGAAGCGGATATCGTCCTCTTTTGGAAGGCCAAACAAAGTAGTTCCGCTTTCACAACGAAACACAGCGCCTTCACGACATGCTTGCGGCGGCAACAACAATACTACAGCGAGAAAAAAAGTTATGCTGCTTCTTTCTTTGTGTGAACATTTGGGCGGCGTTATGCAAATCTTCCCACACAGTGACGTAGACATGTGGGGGCGTGTTTAAACGAGGCGGATTAGGAGGGCGTGGACAAGTCTTAACTTTTATAAAGAATATCTCCTTGGGTTTGAGACTTTAGTCTTTGCAACTTTAGGGATCTTATCTATGCACAAACAGTTTTTAACAAAGAGAAAGGAACATTTGAAATTGCATCATATGACCCCTTTAAAATCTACATTAGACATGTTGGTAACACTTTAGTTTAGGGACCAATTCTCACTATTATGTAGTTGCTTATTAGGATGCATATTACTAGTATAATGGCTGTTTATTAGTACTTATAAAGCACATATTAATGCCTTATTCTGCATGACCACATTTTAGATCTCTTAATCCTACCCCATACCTAAACTTAACAATTACCTTATTAACTATTAATAAGCAGCAATTAGGAGTTTTGAGGCAAAAGTCATAGTTAATAGTTAGTTAATAATGAGAATTGTTCCACAAACTAAAGTGTCACCGAAACGTATATGAAGTAAATGGTAACACTTAGGCGGATTAGGAGGGCGTGGACAAGTCTTAACTTTTATAAAGAATATCTCCTTGGGTTTGAGACTTTAGTCTTTGCAACTTTAGGGATCTTATCTATGCACAAACAGTTTTTAACAAAGAGAAAGGAACATTTGAAATTGCATCATATGACCCCTTTAAAATCTACATTAGACATGTTGGTAACACTTTAGTTTAGGGACCAATTCTCACTATTATGTAGTTGCTTATTAGGATGCATATTACTAGTATAATGGCTGTTTATTAGTACTTATAAAGCACATATTAATGCCTTATTCTGCATGACCACATTTTAGATCTCTTAATCCTACCCCATACCTAAACTTAACAATTACCTTATTAACTATTAATAAGCAGCAATTAGGAGTTTTGAGGCAAAAGTCATAGTTAATAGTTAGTTAATAATGAGAATTGTTCCACAAACTAAAGTGTCACCGAAACGTATATGAAGTAAATGGTAACACTTTATTTTGATAGTCCACTTTGAACATTCTACTATAGCTGCTTTGCAACTGCATGTCAACTAGTGTATTAGTAGACTGTCTGTTTAACATCTGCTAACACTTTTTGATGATCCCCCCAATAGACATTCTGCTGACTATAAGTAACTTTGTAAGTAAATGTCAACTTATTCTACTAACCCTAACCAAACAGTCTGCTAATATTCTAAAGAGAGTTAGATGACAATGACATGTAGTTGCAAATTAATGAGTTAGTTGACATGATATTGCAAAGTTACTTAGTAGAATGTCTAAAGGAGACTATGGAAATAAATGAATATGAAAACCTGTGAGTGAGGTAGGTAGGTAGGTAGGTAGAACTAGTTGATTGTGAGTGACCGGATGCAGAAAACCAAATGAATCTGATTTCTCAAGCAACAGTTTAGAAATCAATAAAAGTAAAAGTAGCCCCATTTTAAAGCAGGTATTATGTCGAATTGAATTTCGTATAGCTTCATTTTATGCTTATCAGGATAGATTATTTATTCTAAACATCCTGTGCTTTCACCTAATTAATTACTGTTCTGTAAATGTTAATCATAACTTGTTTTTTGACACACACAGTCACATGCACATGCAATGTAATGTAGCGTTAAACCACTATATGAAAATATCTTGGCTACCTCATGAAGTAAGATGAGATGTGAATATTTTGAAAGGTGTTTTGAAGTATCTTCGGGAAGACAGGGTGAGTTCTATGAGCCCTGCTTTCCAACATAAATGTACTGCTGCTTTTCAATAAAATATTGAATCTTCTGTGGAAATTGTGGATGACTGTGCAGTGTGTACACTGTATAACAAATTTAATACAATGATCTTTGTGAAGAAACACTGTCCACCACAAGACCCATATGTCCTTCTGTCTTATATAATTACTGGTATCTATTGATAAACTGGTGTAAAAAGCTATATATGTGCACACACAAGAGGAAAATAATTTAAAAACCATATATATATTTATATAAATTTGGCTACTTGCAAAAAAAATAAATGGACATGAACTACTGCTTTTAGTTGATATTATTTTTATTATGTGAGAAGAGAGTGTGGAGTGATACGAGAGACACAGTGAAACTAGTACAGCCATGTCGGAAATCAGTTTCCTGGGCAAAGGTCAGTTATACAGTTTACCATCATTATAGAAAAATATATGAATGCAGAATGCTGCGATTGATCAGTCACAGTGAAACATTCTAGAATTTTTGTATTGGAATGATACAATTTGAATTTTTTATCTTTTTATAATGCATAAATACCAATCAAATTACGTATTTCGTGACACATTTGACTGTTTTCTGAACTGAAATAGATTTTGTACTAACAAACGTTACAAGAACGCAAACAAATCAGAACATGCACCAGAATATGACACGCCAAAACGATCTTCAATTCTGCTTTTAATACACTGAAACTTAATCCCTGCAAAACACTACGTAATCATATAGCATTGATACATCCAACATAATTCTGAGTATCTTTATTGTAACGTAGGGTGCTAAAACATATTCTACAGTTTCTATACAAATATACAGCCCTACTCTCACAGGAATAACAAACATACAGCACTGTACAGAACAAATACAGATATACAGATCAGCTTCGTTTCTTTACAAAATAATAAACTAGCTTTGTATTGTCGTGCTTTTTGTGCAAAAAATCTAACAGGCAAGTTCACATAGATTACAGCAGTTAACTAGACTTCTAGCCACTGTGAGAAATGCAGACCGAAGAACCCAACTGCTCTCAGAAGACCCAGCTGACAGGAACCCACTGGTGGTCTGTGTTGAGTCTGTCCAGTGCCCTCCTGAGGCTGCGGTACGCTCCGTCCAGGTTATCATTCACAATGCTATGGTCAAAATAGTGACTGTACGCCCTCTGGATCCTTTCACTCTCATCCACTGTCCGTTTGAGCTCTGAATCCTAAAGAGAGATTAAATGAGAGAGACATCATCAATGTAATAGTCATCAACATTCAAAGAACTAATCATTCTCAGGGGATTAAAGAAAGAAATTACCGTCATCTGTTTAGTCACAACACCAGCCTCAATGGCAGATCTGTTCATGTCTTTCAGAACCTCAAAGTTTGGGGCTTCGATGAACACCACATATGGAAGAAACTCGGCTGTTCGCAGAACTTTGAGTGCCTGTAGGAGAACAATGGAACATATGAAATGGGGTGATAATTGTATAACTGTAATATTTATTTGCATTGCTGGAAAATTGCCCAGTAGATTTCCACTGTAAGTAAATACACTCGGTATCATGTATTAGTTGTATTTAGCCTAGAATATTTCTGTGAACAGTCATTGTAAATACTAATACAGTGCAATAGTTTGGTTCCGGAAGTAAAAACCCCACTGATTCTTTCCATAGTGAAATTAATTTTTTACATCAACTTGTAAACCTTAAAAGACAGAGGTTGTTAATGGATGGTATATGGTTTTGTTTACGCTATCCATTTGCTTTATTTTAATTATTTTAAAAATAACAGTTGAACTTGTGGTGAAAAACTACATTACCCATGATGCTGTACAGTTGCAGCAAGCAAATTGTGCCAAAAGAGCTTGCAGGGAATGGCCACTCCCATGAATCACCGCGAATGACGTAATCGAGTTGATCTCGCAGTCAAAATGTGTAATATATATATATATATATATACCTGTTCAACTTTTTGTTAATGCAAATATCCAATCAGCCAATCACATGGCAGCATCAAAATGCATTTAGGCATGTGGACATGGTCAAGGCAATCTGCTGAAGTTCAAACTGAGCAATTTTAAATTAATTGTTCATTTCTCCATAGTTTTTCATTCGATGGTTCACGGCTTATAATGCTTGAACAAAGACTTTTAAAAAAATCCCTATGGGAAAATGAATGGGAAAAATACTTCATGAACCAACACTGCTGAAAAAATGGGCAGGCACTAATGCACTCTTTAGGATATCGAAAATTGAAAAAGAATACCTGCGGATTGACATCTAGAATGCAAACCTTGCCGGAGTCCACAACCTCATGAATGGAGTCAATCTTGGTGCCGTACAGATTTCCATCATATTCCCCGTGTTCAAGGAAACGGCCACATTTAATGTCGGATTCCATCTCACTGCGAGACATAAACAGGTACATCTGCCCCTCCTTCTCATCCACCTTGGGTTTACGAGATGTGTCTGTCCAGAGGGACAAATAGGGCAGGTTAACATTAGCACTGCAAATAATCCGATTTATGCACACATTTTTACATTAGTGAAATTTCAGTGAAATTATTTACTGTCAACAGCTTTCTGTTGTGGCTGAATTTTGCATGGCCAACTGTGATGTGAATTACAATGTGAAATATTCATGGAGAAAAATTTCGTCCTCGCGCAAAATTCGTGATAGCATATATTCGCTGGACAACAGTAAATGTGGCCCCACTTTAAATACATTTAACATGAAGCCAATGTTAAACATTAATATTTAATACATTAATATTAAATAAAAAATATAACTATACACTGACAAGGTGTGGTGGTTCCATAACGGTGCGGGTCCGACACCAAAAGTTTATTTTTCAAGCTGCGGCGGCCCACACCCTGTGCTCCAATCAGAACCAGCGTCTTCCTGCGGAATGGAGGCACCTTGGCCACTTCCTCGTAGATCCTCAACTCATGTCGGTCGAACTCTGGTATGGTGAAAAGATCTCATCTTTTGTTAGTCTGATTTAGTCACTATATCCAAATTTGTCAGTCCCAGCTCAGTTTATGAGATATTTGATTGAGGTTCCATTTACTACATTTCTCATTTTCTTTGACTAAACAAACACATTTCAGTTTATGAACCTGAAACACTTCTCCTGAAATGGAACTGACTGCAAACTCGTTATGACAAACGACTGACATTTAAAAAGTGTCATTTTACAATGAACTCATACAACTGACAACAACAGCAACAATCACAACACAGAGCAAGAGTATGACACATGCGCATCCGTCACACTGGACAGCAGTCATCTTTACCAGCATTCTTGGTGGTCAAGTACATCATCTTCTTCTTCTTCTTACCCCCAATCCCTGCACACAGAGGCCCTGCGGACATCAGCACACATCCTGGTAGTATAAACACACACAGAAAATGACTCCTGTCTACTGCAGAAGTCAAACACATCACTGTCCTTTTAACCTCAGGCCACACTTATAAAACCTTTTAGATCATTCCAATTAGGGCTGCACGATATATCGTTTCAGCATTGATATCGCGATGTGCGCATCCGCGATAGTTACATCGCAGTATGTGCGATGTTTAGTTATATTTATACTGATTGTTTTCTTTGCTCACACACAGACACGGTGTCTACACCGGACGTGACAGCTGTACAGAGATACCCATTTTAAATACATTTAGTAGCAGTGCTACTGCACGCGATTTTCAATGCTGGAAATCTATTTATCCTTTGCTGAAACTTCCGTGTCCTCGTGGAGAGCGCAGGTCATGGTTGCTTAGCAACGGCAGACGCCACGAAAGTGCAAGCTCCCGAGCGCTTTGGAAAGAAGGAGAAAGCGGCGTGACTAGCGTTTTCCCACGCGTTTTTAGGTGCGACATGTGAACGGCCCCAAAGTCTGTCTACATTGGACGTGACAAAGCGACCGTTGCCAATCATTTGAACTTTGTGTCAGTACCCCATAAATAGAACGTGGCACCAGTTTACTGTCGGAGATTTGTTCACTTCTGTGTCTATTTGTGCCTGAAATACCGTGCTCTGCAAGTATCCTTGTAAACACAGATGCTTATGGCTAAGGTGAAGGGAAACAAGTGAGAAAGAAAATGGATGTGTAACAGTATATTGGTTCACAGCAGTTTAATGTTCCTGTTGCCTTTTCTGTCATAAACGTTAATCAAACAACAAAACACAATGAAAAATCACTTTTGTAGCTTTATCACAGATTTATTAGATTTAATTTATAGTGAAAACGATATATAATATATATATATATATATATATATATATATATATATACACGTTTATTTCATTTGTATCTTTGTTCTGTTATTTATCTATGCTTGTAATTTGTTTTATTTCCTATGCTGATTTACTCGCCTACAAAATCACCCCAATCATTGATGTTTCTTTTTCCAAATAGAGAGCTATTGAAGTCATCTGATTTTTTTTTCCTACCACAATATACAGTGGTGTGAAAAAGTGTTGGCCCCCTTACTGATTTCTTATTTTTTTGTAGCGTTTTCCCACGCGTTTTTAGGTGCGACATGTGAACGGCCCCAAAGTCTGTCTACATTGGACGTGACAAAGCGACCGTTGCCAATCATTTGAACTTTGTGTCAGTACCCCATAAATAGAACGTGGCACCAGTTTACTGTCGGAGATTTGTTCACTTCTGTGTCTATTTGTGCCTGAAATACCGTGCTCTGCAAGTATCCTTGTAAACACAGATGCTTATGGCTAAGGTGAAGGGAAACAAGTGAGAAAGAAAATGGATGTGTAACAGTATATTGGTTCACAGCAGTTTAATGTTCCTGTTGCCTTTTCTGTCATAAACGTTAATCAAACAACAAAACACAATGAAAAATCACTTTTGTAGCTTTATCACAGATTTATTAGATTTAATTTATAGTGAAAACGATATATAATATATATATATATATATATATATATATATATATATACACGTTTATTTCATTTGTATCTTTGAGATCTAAAGAAATTCAAGAACAGATGAGAATTAAAACAGTTGACAAGTATCACTCTGGAAAGGATTATAAAGCCATTTCTAAGGCTTTGGGACTTTTCTGTCATAAACGTTAATCAAACAACAAAACACAATGAAAAATCACTTTTGTAGCTTTATCACAGATTTATTAGATTTAATTTATAGTGAAAACGATATATAATATATATATATATATATATATATATATATATATATATGTGGCTGAATTAAAACAATTCTGCAAAGAAGAGTGGGCCAAAATGTGAAAGACTCATTGTCAGTTATCGCAAACACTTGATTGCAGTTGTTGCTGCAAAGCGTGGCACAACCAGTTATTAGATTTGGGGGGCAATTACTTTTTCACGTAGGGCCAGGCAGGTTTGGACAGCTTTTTTCCCTTAATAAAATAAATAATCATTTAAAAACTGCATTTTGCATTTACTTGCATTATCTTTGTGTAATATTAAAATTAGTTTGATGATCTGAATTTTTTAAGTGACAAATATGCAAAAAGTTAAAAAAAACAGGAAGGGGGCCAACACTTTTTCACACCACTGTATATCGCAGAAAGAAAAAAAAAATATTGCAATGTGAGTTTTTTCCAATATTGTGCAGCCCTAATTCCAATGTAATTACCCTAGAGTAAAATAACAGCATATGGATTTGGAATGAAATGAGGATGAATAAATAATGGCCTGTTCCTATAATGAACAGCAGAGCATTCTGCTTACAGTAATCACACAGATCATGCTGATATTCCTCCAGGGGGCGCTACACTCAGTTCAGTGTCCCCTCAGGCTGTTAGCACTTAACTGAATTTAATGCTTATCACTTCACTGCTGTGTCAATTCGTTTTCATGCTATTTTTTCTTCTTTTTTTCCATCTGTTTTTGCTGATTATAGTAATTTCAAAATATATAATTTTAGTTGCATTTACGAAAACGTGAAAATCTTAAGACGTATACATAAACTGTTTTTAAAAAGCCTGTAAGTGACAGAAGACGTGCACTCAGCACAGATGCTCTGACGGCAGACTATTAACCCTGTAAAGCCTGACATCTGAAATAAGTCAGAATTTTTTTTTTTTTTTTTAATAGGAACAGTTAATTGAACAAAATATAAAAGATTATTTCCCGTTTTAGGTTTTGTATCATGTTTGATAGATCAGGCTTTTATGGCTCATGATATAGAAGAACATAAATCTCATACTCAGAGGAAAAACACCACAAAGGCACAAACTGAGCAAAAATATGCAATTTGATACAGATGTTATTTACATGACAAAAAAGGTTAAACTCTGATTTGTAATGCAAATCAATGAGTTCTTAATAGTAGTATAACAGACTACTTACATAAAAGGCAAATAAATATAATTTGTCACTCTATATTGCTCAAAAATATGTCTTATTAAGATGATATTTAATGACTGAGAGATATAAACGTTCCTCAAAAGTCTGATTTATTATATTTAATACATTTCAGAATGATTTTTCTAAATAATGATGATGTATGGATACTTAAGTAAAGTTACTTCAGTCTGGTAAATGTTCATTTTGAAATATTAATAACAACAAAAGATATTCATTATAAAAATGGTTAAAGATTTTACACCAAAATGACGTGTACCCCGACCTGAATTTATTATATATAAATATCTTTAGTGCCCTGTGTCCTACCTGTGCTAGAGAGCTCCAGGTCTCTCTTGACAAATGCTTTTCTCTTCTCCTCTAGCAGCTGACTGGGGATCAGGCCTGCACTGCCTCCTTCCAGATGACATGCCTACAGGTGAGACCAGAGTCAAAGTAAGACCACCATACAGAGCTTAAGGATCACCACATTATATTCACAGACACACACACACCTGCCACCAGTTGGGGTCCTCCTGGTTGAAGATCTGAAGGATGTCTCCACTGCTGAATTTGAGTCCAGCTTCTTTACAGGGGATCAGGTTGTCATGAGAGGGGTCATAGTCAAAGTGACACTTCACAAAGGCCTGCAGATAGACAGACAGATAGACAGAAAGAGAGAGTAAAGACAGAGATTAACTTATTACTGAATATGTCCATCAATCAGAGTGTCATACTGACAGCCTGTTGAAAACTTTAGTGGTGTATGTCTAGCATAAATGGAAGTGGGCATATCTATATCTCTAGTGATTCCTTATACTGTCAACATACATATACACTCACTATTCAACTTCAGGCACTTTTATGTTGATATTATGTTTATATTGATTATAGGTTGATTTTAATACAACGTCACAATAAAACTATCTTGGAAACTTTTATTTTTTTCTACTTGTTTACCTTTTTCAGACTCAGACTTTTAATCTTAAAACAGGAAAATCCATAATTAAAATATCAATTAATATTATAATATAAATACTATACCATAATACTAATTATTACTGATTATTAATAATTTATAACAACTGCTTATTGATTATTCTGAAATATGAACTATGAAAAAAATGATGTTTTACACAAATTAAGCCTCACCTCACTTGTGCAGTCATATTACAACCAAAATTTTTCCCAGTGAAATTTTGCCCCAATGAAGGGTTGTTGGTTGTTTCAGTATCAGCTTGTGATGAAATATGAAATGTGTGAGGGGGGGGGGAATCAGTATCACAAAATATTTTTATTGTGCATCATTTCCAATCAAGCTGTAATTCGTCAAATTAAATGTGAAATATTATCTGTGTGCGTTATTCTAAATTAAATACTAACCCTTGTGAAAAAGAAGTACTCTGTAAAGTAAAGTGTGCTGCCAAAATACACTGACAAGCATTTATGGTAAATAAAATATACATTAAATTTAATTTTTCAAAGAAGACACTACAGTTAAAAATATAATCAAGTATTTACATGTGCTTTAGTATGCTAGTCAACACATCAAAATAAGTGCACTTCTATAAAGCACAACAAAAGATGACTAAAGGTAAAACTTTCAATTTGACATTATTACAAATACACTTTTTTACAAGTGTACTTAAGTGTTAAGAAAGAGACATGAAAGTGTAATCACTTTAAATACACTTAAGTGGCTTTTTATTGCATTAATATTATCTGCAAGTACAGTTTTAAAAAAAAATACGTATTGATTGCCACTGTCGCCTTTGGCTTGCTTAGTTGGGGACACAGTTTCTGGCAACATTGTTGACTTGACTGCACAGACACTATTTGAAGAGAACTGAACTGAGCTGGACGATGACCACTGAATCAACAATCAACTGACTTTAACTGATAAAATGTTTTCTATTGTCCTCTTGCATTATCAGCACATGTTTTTCCTGTTTAACACTGTTAAGCTGCTTTGACACAATCTGTATTGTATAAAGCACTATATAAATAAAGAAAAAAGATTTGAAGTACACTACGGCCTGGTTTCACAGACAGCCCAGACATGCCTTTTAGTCTGGGACTATAGGCTTAAGCCTTGTCTGTGAAACCGAGGGTACAAGTATGCATGCAATATAAGTAAGCACACTTCTTTTTCACAAGGGAAAACTAGATGTAGGAGGAGAAGACTTTCAGCAAACGTTTCATAAAGAAACTCATACAGGTTTGAAATAATAAATGATGACGGGATTTTTATTTTTGGTTGAACTATTCCTTCAAGAGGAATTTTAGTGCCTAAAACCCTGTTGTCATGGCAACTGTAGTCACCTGCAGTCCAGTAGAATGCTGCTATTAGGTGCTAGAACGCCAACACACAGAAAATACGCCTGGATTACATCATTCAGATGGTCAACAACAAGCATCCTCCACACACAACACAACACATGCCAACAATACCATCTGCCAGCACAAACACCTACAGCCGCTCTTAAAAACATGAATATTCCCATCATAGTAGTGTGAATCACATTAGTAACATGACACTGTGATGTCCAGGCCCCTATTAGCAGCATGCACAGGAAGCTGTTCGTTTATTTTGGGATCAAATAAAGACATGCACAGATGGGACACTCTGAATATGGCACCATACAGGCAGAGAAACAGAACTTCACTCATTTAATTCCGATTTAATAAGAAGATGATCTCAGAAATGCAGAAAGTGGGTAAGATCCGCAGTAAGACATAGCTGAAAATGTGAAAGGGCAGACTTGAAGAATGTCGGTGTCTCATCTCAATAGGTGGGGTGGCACAGCGTCAAAAACAGGAAGGGCATAATGCACCAAATCTCCCAGCATGCTTTGGCATAGACACAGGTGCCCAAACCCGGCCGGCACTGCAGCCCAAAGTTTAATCTCAAAGATGTCTATTTAGAGGCATTTTGAACCAAGGTTATTACATTAGATGTTAGTTACCATGTCCTGTGACATCTGGTATTATCATCCACCCGGGAGATCCAGTTGACCTTACGACACATAAATGACTGACAGCCTCAAACAGCCAATCAAATAACTGCGACAAGTCTTGTTGCTATACACCATTTTGTCAGTCAAGATTTAAAGATTACTGAACTATTGAAGTGTTGGACGAATACAAACCTTTTTTTTTGGGGGGCAAATTCCTTTGACTATTCTAAAAAAAAGTGATGTTATGGCACACATAATTCCTATAATAAGTATCCATATACTAAGACCTTCATTCATTTAACACATGATTTTGTGACGTTCTCTCCAATAAAATAATTGGATCTAACCCCTTAGATCAAACCCAATTAGCTTGGAATGTTCTCAGAACTTTGAGAACAACATTCTCTCAAAATCATGAGACATTAATAGAACGTTCGTTCAAAGCTATCTGGTTCTCAAAACATTAGCACAAAAACATTTATACATTGTTTTTGGATCGTTTTTCAGAAAAAAAAATTTAGTTGGACGTTCGTCTAATATTTTTTAATCATTGCTACTTACAAGTTTCAGATGATTTAGAGGACATTCAAATGTAACATTCCCAAGTTTGCGAAATAATCAAATGGAATGTTCCCTTACTGTTGTCTTCAACGTTCACATTACCAAGAAAAAACACTTTTTAAACATTCAAAAACTGAACATTTTGAGCATTCGGAGAACATTCAGAAAGAAGAACATTTTTGTTAGCAGGGAAATTAGGTGATTACATGGATTTTGTTTTTATGGTGGTGCCTGGCGCGGTTCATTGTAAGAATATTTAAGGGCAATATTTGATTTATTTCCTCTGTCAATCTGTATTTACAGTTAGAGTAAACATCTGTATACTAAATGCACATGAGCTTCATTCAAGATATCTATTCTATAAGAATATCTATAAGATATCTTGCGTATCTATTGACTTCATCTTATGTGTGGATTATTTAAAAAACTGAACGGACTCCAGTGTCAATCAACATCACAAGTCTAGCCATGTTTTTTTTTTTATTAATGCACATTTGTAACACTATACTTTGTTATAATACATTGCCATTAATTTACAAAAAGAAAACTAGTTAATGCTGCTGCGTGAGTGTTTCTAATACAACAGCTGAGGTAGTGATAGCAAATGTAATATTTTTATCTCTTCTGAACACCTTAATCAATCTCTCAATATTTTTTTCTTCTTTCGAAAAGTCATAAAAAGGAAATTGTGGATTTTTTTATTTTTCTTTTGGAGCAAATGGGGAAACTTTTTTCTTTTGCAAGACCTTTGAAAAAAAGTATACCTTGAAAGTAATATTCCTTTGGGTAAAAGCATATGCTAAATGCATAAATGTCAATAAATAACACCAACTTCAATGCAATGAAGAAACGTCAAATAACTTCCAAATGTGTCTTTTGAGTTTTCATAATGAGTTATTCTATTGTGTTTAAAGGAAAGCCTGACTGACTATCAGATAAGATGAAATTATTATGACAATTATTATGTATATATATGGTAACACTTTAGTATAGGGTCCAATTCTCACTATTAACTAGTTGCTTATTAGCATGCCTATTATTAATATATTGGCTGTTTATTGGTGCTTATAAAGTACATATTCTGCATGACCATATTCTACATCCCTAATCCTACCCAATAGTTAAATTTAACAGCTACCTTACTGACTATTAATAAGAAGCAAATTAGGAGTTTATTGAGGCAAAAGTCATAGTTAATGGCGAGAATTGGACCTTAAAATAAAGTGACCATATAGAACTGTAAATAGAACTGTATTGTAATACAATTTTATTAAACACGTTTTTCCACAAAAAAAACAAAACGTTAATCGGGTATGTATAATGCACCTGATTCAACACATCTCATCAGTAAAGTGCTCACTGTCAAATAGGGGACACATACACAACAGTATTGGAGATGCTCCAGGATCAGAATATTAAAATTTATGTGTAGGTGTCTCTTCATTCACATGAATACATTTCAGCATCAGAAAACACAAACATTGTCATTTTTCATGCAATTAAAGAGATCCATAAATCCTTTATGAGGTTTGCCGTGAGAGCTGAAAGGTGAAATAAAGTTCTCTTTGGACTCACAGCACAAAGCAGTGAATTTACTTCTGCATCAAGGTCAATCGCTATCCCAAGACCGTTGCTAAGCAGTGACAGTGGATCTGAGGTAAACTGTCTATGTGTATGTGTGTGTATTCTCATAGAGATAAGTCATATACTAGATAACAAACCTCTTCTTTCCTCTTGGATCACCTTCTGTGATGGAAAACAAAACAAAGGTTGGCCATTTAAAGGATGAGATCTGCCATTTTCTGTCTCTGTTCCAAAACTAGTAAGTATAGACAGCATATATGTGTGCACCTGATGTGAAAAGCTGTTTGATTCAGTTTACTATGTACCTTACCTTACCTAAGATCAAAATCTAAGACAGCATCACATTCTCTACACAAATAAGGCAATCCTAAAATACATTGCAATAAACTCAGAAAAGTATATGAAATGATGCTTATCGTAAAAAGTGCTATACAAATAAAATTTGATTGAATTGACTGAATTTCCTGTTTTTTTTAATACATCTAACATCACTTTAATATCGGGTAGAAAAAAAAGATTTTAGAAAACATAATAGAGCCCATATTAATTTGCT